CTGCGTGGGATCTCGGTGCTCCGCAACTTTGAAAGGACGCCAAGGCTCTGCGCGGGGTCCAGGGCTTGCCCATGCGGGCTGCGTGTGGAATTCAGGTGTGAATAGACAAAATATGTGAAGGCATCGGGAGGGTATTCTTATCTCCGTGATACCAGCGCAGAGGCGGAAAACATGTACGTACCTCAAATGCAGATAAATGCCTCTTTGTCTCTCAGCATGCCTGAATACTGTCAGAAACGTGGTCCTGAGTGACTTGTCTGCGATGGTAAAGGAAGCACGTGGAGAAGCCAGAAGCCTGGTATTCTGAATCCCAGTTGTGCCCTCTCTCATCACAACATTAGGATACATCCTTCCCTCTTCTCACCAAAACCAGCCTTCTTTTCCATGATTACAGTTCCTAGCACCATTATAACTACTTTCTGGTCTTTTTCTGAAATAACTGATTACATTTTCCCTTGTATTTTGTCTTTATAGAATTCACTTCAAAGTGTGGAAATGCCAGGCAAAGGTAAAGTGTTTTTTTTTAAAAAACATGTTAATTCAAGATGTATCATCAGAAAACACACGTTTTGCTATTTATTTGTATTAGCGAGGTGCTATAGCTGGCACATTACAGATACTTACATATTTGGTTGTATGATGAAGTAATTAATAAGTTAAAAATATAAGTGGTATATAAATAAAACATAGCATTTCTCACAACTAATCACAAGATTCAAATATGGAGAATAAATAGTAGAGTGAAAGAATATGTTACAGTCAGTAGCGGTCACAGTAGCAGATAATACTGCAATTTTTAGTAGTTGTCTTTGCTTCCAACAGGGAAAAGGAAAAATGAGTTACTTCTTGAAAACTGAATTTTGTGTATGGCTTTCCTACCCAACTCCAATAATTCTTATTCCTCCTTAAACTTTAGTTCTTTATCTTTTGTTGTGTAAATGGTATGTTGTCTTTTGTTAAGTGATACACTGTCATAAGAAGGGTAGGCTCATAGCGGTAACGGATAAAAGCGTAGACCCTCCCACATTTAATCCCTCAGCTAAAATCAGCCTAGACTCCATGGCTAATGCCCAGTCCCATCAGCGTTACAGTAGAGCACCTCCCAAACTGAGGGAGATGCAGGAGCTTGCTCACTAGCGGTTGCCTGCACCGGGTTGCTGGAGGTAACGGCCACATCCAGGCTGTGGAGCCTTGCGCTGCCTTATTCCTGGCCTGCGACATGTGGCTGGAGGGCTCTGCTGGTGCTTCCAAAGAGTCTGCCACATGCATGTTGGGTTTGGGCCAATGTGTGCTGTGAAGCGATGGTCTCAGTTTTTTGGTTTTTAGGTTTTTTTTTTTTTTTGAGGATCAAACCTTGGCCGTTTGAGATGCTTTTTCTATTTTCTTCTTTCTCCATCTGTCAGTCTCGACTGCAGTGTGCTCTGAGAGGCAAAGAGGTCACAAGGATTACAGGAGCCTTTCAAACACGGAGGGGGTTAAAGGCAGGATTCCAAATGCCAGCTTGTTGCTTCACCCTTACTCAGCTTCATGAACAGCAAACAAACCAACAAACAGTAATTATATTTCCAAGCTACCAGTAAAAGCTAAGTAGCTGAGGGCCGGGGGAGTGCGGGGAGGACATGCAGGTGCAGAAGGGAGGAGGAGGTAAGTACTCTTTGTAGGATTCTTCTCACTTGGATGCAGGCATTTAGCTCGTGAGTTTTGTCAAACTTTGTTAATGACAACAGTTTGCTAAAGAGGAAAGGAATTAATAGTTACAAATCAACATCTACCCCTGAAACATGTTTCTCCGCACACTCTTCAGAAAACCTGCCTAAAGCTTTCCAGTACTGAAAGAAATTTGCAGACTTGGACTTCACGGAATGAGCAGATTCTTGAAGGAAAAATCTGATTTATTGAGTAACATTAAAAGGAATCTAGCAGATTTTTGGCACCATACTGCTTTGCCTCTGTTGGTTTACACCAGGAAATCTTCAACTACAAAGACTGATACTTTTCTGTTTGTTCCTGACACACCCTTAATGCCGTAAGGATTGCAGAATCCATTTGGCAAGGTAATATTAGAAACTGCAACTGCGAGTCAGAACTTGTCAGCGTATTAGGGATTCTGTGCAGAAGCCTACCTTTTTACTTTATTATGCTTAGCTGGCTGGAATTATAAGCATGCAAAAATTGGCAAGCTTGTGGCCATCAAAACAAAGTAAAATAACCATCTTCACCCAAAGCTGGTACCTTTTTACCAGATCTCAGGGAAGCTGAAAACCATGTGCTTTGCTTTCTCTAGCAGCACAGTTGCAAATAAAGTCAGCTATGATGTCTGAGGAGGAGACAGACTGCATTTCCTATTCGTGCTGTTTTTTCCTGTGCCTTATACGTATATTCATGTTATCTTCAAGAAAACAGAATCAAACTCTTAACAGCAAGAACAGCAATCACTTACTCCAACTAGTATTTTCTTTTTCTTCTCCTCCTCCTTTCCCCAAATGATAGTTATCATTACCTTGAGTATCATAAGAGACTCTCAAACAGGGTTTTGTTTGTCTTCATTATAGCTTCTCTCTGCCACAAAAGAGAAGAAGATAAAGGATACTACTGCAATGAAAGCCATACATAATAATTTGTTTAGAAAATGCTTTAATCTTTTCCTTTAATAAAAGATTAATAGAGGTTTAATATTAGTCATTCACTATGGACAAAACAGGTCAAAGACTCTATTCAGGGTCTCAAACCTTGATTTAGTGTTGCAATAACTGGCTCTATTAACAGTGTTATCTCTGTGGACCAAATTATTCCATCACTGTGAACAGAGCAGTATTCATCCATGTTAAGTATAAGTCTCGATAACATTGTGTTCTATCTCGAAGTCCTTAGAAAATTATATTAATGTTTTTGTACTCAAACTGTTTTTTTCCTTTTCTTCTTTTTTCTTAAATATGAGGAAGGATAATAATTTCTAGACATTACCACCATTCTGCAGTAAAAAATATTCCTGGAATAAAGAATAATATTATTCAAGTTAATAAAGTTTTAACACTGTTGTTTACTGCTATCCAGAGGATGGAAAGACAGGCTGCAAGTCAATACAGAACTCAGTTTTTCTCAAAATCTGATGAATGAGTCTTTGTACAGGTGCCTGCAGCCTTGTAACTCTAGGGTTTTAACGAGATCAGACAAAATAAGCAGCTTTTGGAATTTAATCAGTAGGTCTTTGGGACATCTTCCCAGAAATTCCAGTATGAACCATGAACTGATAGTGAATCAGCAGTCTTCCTG